TTCCTTTTCCTCTGAGCGAGCCCCACTGACACGACAGACAGTGCTAGGGCTAGCTCCATGCTAGGTGCATGCCCGCTGATGATGCCATGTTCAGGCTTTGTCAGCAAGTGGTCACGTCCCAACCCGCCCCGATGGAGGCGCGATGGTCCAGGGTGCTGAACCGTGACCCTACGGAGAGCAGACGGCACAGTGACCGCACGTCCATTACTGTAGATAATGCAAGTTTCATCCTGGACCGTAGCAGTTGTCGTATGCTTCCGTCAGGATCCGCGCCTGATGGCAAATGGCGGCGCCCACAACGCTGTAAGACAAATGTCGGCGTCTACAATACTATTCGGGCTCTGACATGCCAGGAAGGGCTTAAAGCGCACGTCCTGTCACATCCTGATGGTACTTTCCTGCAGGTGTGCAGGATATGGTCCTCGGTATTATGGTTGACTTGAGTGCCCTTCTTTATCCACGCGCGTAGTTATGAAGGAGCAGTGCGCAGACGTCGGACAAGGCGGAGCCAGTGCCTAGACGTCGGGCGAGGTGGAGTCACCCCCCGGACGCCGAGCGAGGTGGAGCCACCCTCCGGACGTCGGCGAGGCGGAGTCACCCCTCGGACGTCGGGCGAGGCGGAGCCACCCTCCGGACGTCAGGGGAGGCGGAGTCACCCCCCAGACGTCGGGCGAGGCGGAGCCAGCCTCCAGACGTCGGGGGAGGCGGAGCCAGCCCTCGGACGTTGGGCGAGGCGGAGCCACCCTCCGGACGTCGGGTGAGGCAGAGCCAGCCTCCGAATGTCAGGCGAGGCGAAGTTTGCCCTCAGACGTCGGGCGAGGCGAAACCAGCCCTCGGGGGTCGGGCGAGACGGAGGCTGCCCTCGGGGGTCGGGCGAGACGGAGTCTGCCCTCAGACGTCGGGCGAGGCGGAGCCGGCCCTCGGGGGTCGGGCGAGACGGAGTCTGCCCTCAGACGTCGGGCGAGGCGGAGCCTGCCTTCGGGGGTCGGGCGAGACGGAGTCTGTTCTCAGACGTCGGGCGAGGCGGAACCAGCCCTCAGGGATCGGGCGAGACGGAGTCTGCCCTCAGACGTCGGACGAAGTGGAGCTAGCTCTCGGGAGCCAGCTTGAGACGGGGCCCAAGGTCTTGGTCGACGGACGATGAGTGACCCGGCGAGCGGTATAGTCGCGCTCTCGATCGCATAGATGAATCAACGTTGATGGCTATTAGCTCCTCTTTGAGTACCCTACTATTGGTCCCGACAATAATTATTATCAAATATCATGCCCAAAAGAATGCTCAGACCAAAGTCATGAAGCCAGCAAAGGTTGTAATTAAATGCCAAAAAAACAGTGAGAGCATGCTTCACGTAAAATTGTCGTATGGTACTGTATTTTAAGAATTTAAATGACATTTGCAACATCTACAAGTGAGATCATGACTCTGATGTACTCTTGTGATTCCGGTAGGTACTACATGGAATGCTTTGGAATTGATATACAATATATTCATTGATGTACCAAAAATTTAAACCCAATAAGAAAGTTAACAGTGCATATGTTTCTCTCTTCATATAAACTAGCCAACTATTTTTATGTGAAAGTATTTACATTAAAACACATACTTTAATCTTGCTGTCTTCTATCTCCATTCTTGCCAGTTCAGTGTTTCAATATAAATTCAGTTACAAATTCAGTATAGAGTCCTGCTATATATAGGATCTGTAACTAATAGGAGCAGAGTTACAAGGCAACATATGAAGTTACAGATCACAAGCTAAAAAAGGCTAAACAGAGGTCAAGTCTCTTCTACAGATATCTGCATGATTCTCCTAAATATGTCAATTGATCAATATGCTCTATTCATGTATTCAATCTTTTTATTAATATTATGCCATGTCTCCATTGTAAGGTTACAGAAAGAGACATTTTTATAATTTCTTTCACTTCAAACTGGAATAATTTAATATTATGCCATGTCTCCATTGAAATCTAAAACTTGATATAATCACGCTACATGAATAATCCAAGTAGTACTTTACGTGGAGCCTTGCCTTCTTTTTCTGTACGGAAGAAGAATATACAATTGATGGCTACCTCACAAGGATCTATCATATGATATGTGCCTTATTTTTTTCACACAAGCAGTGTCATTCTTGGATTATATGCTGAACGTTTGAGGGGGTGTTTTTATCCAACTCCTAAACTTTAAGTCGTTGTCCCATCAGATATTTGGATACATACATAAAGTATTAAATATAAACTAATTACGAAACTAAATACACAGATTGAGATTAATTTGCGAGACGAATTTTTTAAGCCTAATTAGTCCATGATTTGACAAAGTGGTGCTACTGATAAAAATGCTAATGCGGATTAATGATGGATTAGTTAGGTTTAATAAATTGCCCTCGGCTTCTTCATATTCAAATTTTTGTTCGGCTTTTTTTCTTGACGAACAATGTTTTTCTCTGTAGTTTGTTTTTTTTATTAGTATCCAAGACACAAGTCGAGCGGGCCTAGTATCCGAACACCCCATACGATACCTCACGTGACATCCGATGAGACACCTCATAAACTTTAGTCCCTGCATCCAAACACCCCTAAGCTTGTTGCATAAGATAAACTGAAGTAAGAATGACACGTTACCTGCTGGATCTTGGGAGTATAGTTTCACTTGCCATCTTGCTCCAATTTGTGGTTTGTACCGCTATCAACTATGAGAGAATACTTTCCTGTGCTTTATAAAATGGCAAAGCTATTATTTTGAGACCTCAGCACCTGATCGTCCATATTCTTTAAACACTTTTAATTGAGCTTCCTGATGATAAGAGTATGTCTACTGTCCTTGGTGTGGCTGGAGCAAATTACAAGGACACAGCTGTGTGCATCATGAATCATCTTAGAGTTACCTATTCTATAGTCTTTGCCTTAGACCATGAGACATGAAACTCAGTTTGGTAATGTTTTCAATCACCTCCCATTATAATTTTATCTCCTCAAGTTTGGCTGAACAAACCATTTTTAACAGTGACAAAAGAGAAGTGGTAGATTATCTTGGAGATATTAAGACTAGGATACAATGTGTTGATGCTTCCATACTCTTGGCCAGGACAGGTAAATTTTAGCATACAACCGAGACATGGAGTTGCTTCTGAAGAAACAACACAAGCTCGAGCCCTTGCATCAGAGATCTTCTTGCTGGTCATTGTATGCTTACTCTGCCTTCAAATAATTTACAAGACTGCTTGGACTACTTGCTTGTGATCTTGAAGATGTCATAATTTGTTTCCAGATTGAGTGATTAACAAGGGAATTAAATTCAGGAATTCCTAGACATAGAAGTCAAATATAGAGGGGCTGGTTACCTACAGCAAGGGCGCGGCAAAGGCCGCGCCTGTCCTTCTAGTCACGACCGCACCCGATCCCGAGCGTCTCACCGTGCGCACCGCTCGCACGGTCGCGCCCCTCCACGGCTCCACCTCGTGCTCGCCGCCGCACGCCGCCTTCCGGAGCAGCACGCGTCGCCCCTCTCCTTCCCTACCGCGAAATCGTTCCCTCCTGCGAGCTCCTAGTATCTCCGTTCGGGCGAGTGTGTTCGCAGACCCTTCTTCCCCACTCGCGCTCGGTGGGCCCTACCCGCCTCCACGCGTCTCCCACCGGTCAAACCGGTCGCCCGCACCGAGCACAGTCGGTGGCACGGTGCGCAGCTTGCCGTTCTGACCCACGCGGGTTCGTCTCGGTTGTACTCCCCCAACTCCCGTTCCTCGTGAGGATTTTTTATTTTGAAAAAAAAAGCACCACAGCGTGGTGGAGAGGAAATTTTGCTGGGACGGGACGCGACCTCGCCGTCCTCATCGGTCAAAGGCGGAGGCGCTCTACACCAGGTTCACACGCCGCGCCGCCGATACGGCCCGCCAGCGCCGAGGTGAGTAGCTTGGCTAGCTGATTGATTGCCCCCCCCGAAACCGCCGGCCTGTTCTCGTGTAAAGGTACCCTGGTGTGCGCGGAGGCGGAGCTTAGGGGGTGCTCGATTCAGTGGCGTCGCCTCACCCTCGGCTTCGTGTTCAGGGTTTGAGCTTTCTGTGTAGGAGGAGGACATGCGGCTGGGGTTGGTTGCCTGCCTGTGGTTGGATGGCTAGGTCTGATTCGCAAATCCCGCTACTGGATTGTGCTCTAGGGGTTCCTTCGCGTAGGAAATCAAGTAGGGATGATCAGGCAGGGTATCCAATCGATTGACTGGTCTAATTTGGTCCAAAGTTAGCTTAGATCTGGTTAGTGTTTTAAGTCGTAGGCAGGACAAAGGCGATTTCATTCCTTGATGATTTAGTTAGCATTTTGATGAGTCCTATGCCTTCAATATTACTACCTCTTTGAAACAAGTGATGAAACCTGTTGCTGTGGGGGTCTGAGCTTTCTGTAGGACTTAGGTGGTGAGGCCATGCGGCTGGATCGGTTGTTCCCTTGTGTTAGAAGCCTTGTTGCTGTTTCCCTGTTAGCTTATTCTGGTACTGATATGTGTTCTAGGCATAGACCTGTAAGTGTCACGGGAGCACGGAGTATTGGAAGACGATCTGTGACCGGTTCAGTAGGAGGAAATTTGTTCCTAATTGTTGTGTACCTTAGATCTTGTGTGGAGGTTTCCTTTTTAGTTGGGATAAAGGATGTTTTCTTCACTCGTTCCATGATGGTTTAATCAGCAAAATTGTTGAGCACTATGTTAGCGAATTCCAACACTTGTTTGTGCTCTAGGTGTCCCGAGGATAAAATCAAGCAGGAATGATCAAGGGGGAGGGGATCCAGTTAATTTAGGAGAAATTTGGTTCATAGGTGTGACCTTTAGATCTAGTTGGTCTTTTCAGTCTTTGCTGGGACAAAGGCAATTTCATTGTTTCATGATTTAGTTAGCACTTAGCAGCTTGATGGATCTTATCTGTCAATCACCACACCTTTGAAAACTGACGGAACTTGTTGCTCCTTGTAGGTTAAGGTTGCAGGCTTGCAGCTTGGGATTGTGAAAGATGGGGACCTCTTCTGGCGCGAATTTCCATCAGCAACCTCCTCCGACCCAGGGGATGTTGCCTCCGAGGCATGGTCCGCGCCCCTCAGGGTTGCAGACCTCGCTCTCGCTGGCCTCTTCGGAACAGGTTGGCTCGCCTGACATGCAGGAGCCTGGTTCAAACTCGGACCCAGGCCATGACTCTGCCACTGAGAGCGCCAGTTCCAAGGACACATGGCCTGCTGAGCCGAACCAGTGCAATGGTGGGGTAGCTGCTAGTGGTGTCGTGAGTAAGGCGGCAGAGAAGGAGAAGGAGGTGGCAAATGGTGTATCCAAGCTGCAGGTTATCCGCGGACCCTCCTCCCGTGTGGGTGGGATGCTTCTGCGGGAGGTTGCACGGGAGAGGGTTGATCTGGTCGCTGAGAAGATGAAGGTGATGCCAGAGGAGCACCTGGAGGAGGTCAAGAATGAGCTCAGATCAATTCTGGAGGGCACTGGAGGTTCTCACCACATCGAGGAGTTCTTGTACTTGCAGAAGCTTGTCCAGGACAGGGATGATTTGACACCATCCATGCTTTCAGTGGCACACCATGTGCAGCTTGAGATCCTTGTTGCAATCAAGACTGGGATACAGGCCTTTCTGCACCCCAGCGTTACCATTCCACACAATCGCTTGGTGGAGGTCTTCTTGTACAAGAGGTGCCGGAACATTGCTTGCCAGAGTGCTCTCCCTGCTGAGGAGTGCAGATGCAATGTGTGTGCTAACTGGAATGGCTTTTGCAACCTGTGCATGTGTGTCATCTGCAACAAGTTTGATTTTGAGGTCAATACATGCCGTTGGATTGGTTGTGATTTCTGCTCTCACTGGACACATACAGATTGTGCAATTCACAATGGCCAGATAGGAATGGGACAATCAGTGAAAAGCAGCATTGGTCATGCTGAAATGCTTTTTAGGTGCCGAGCTTGCCAGAGGACCTCAGAGCTGCTGGGTTGGGTTAAGGATGTCTTCCAACAATGTGCTCCTGGTTGGGATAGGGATGCTTTGTTACGTGAGCTTGAGTTTGTTTGTAAGATATTCCGTTTAAGTGAGGATGCAAAAGGGAGAGTGTTGTTCAGGAAATGTCTAGATCTGATTGAAAGGCTGAGGCGCTCCAGCTGATTCCATCAATCCTAGGATGATACTACTAGCACTCCAAGGTCAGTTACTCACTCTGTCTATTTTCCCTGGCTGAAACATAAATTTGCATTTGACTTGTTACTTGTTACTTGTTAGCTTCTTATTTTGTTTCTGTTCCTCTCATTTACTAATACTAATTTCTAAGTCTGCTTAGTTACTGCTTCGTGGCATTCTGTTGACTATGAAAATTGTTTACTCCTTCCGATCCCAAATATAAGTCCATTTACCTTTGTCCAAGGTCAAACTTTTTTTTTAGCTTTGGCCATCATTGAGCAAATAGTTATATAGATTGGTAACATGAGGTTGATGTTACTGCATGTCTGCATTTATCATGAAACATAAGTACTTCCGTAATATATAACACTTTCTACTATTAGTCAAAGTGTAGAAATGGAGACCAAATTGATGTCCTAGTGGACTTATTTGGGATTGGAGATTATTTTATTATCCAGCAGGTACTGCTAGATTCCAGTTGTTTATTTATTTGCTTTCCCTTGTATATCAAATAGTCAGACAACTTGATGATTTGGTACTTCTGGGATTGGGTATGAAGAAATGCCTTCAATTTCTTTTACTTCATTAAATCACTTTTTCTACTGCACTTTCCACCCACCTTTTTTTTTTGAAAGCTCATTTTCCACCCACCTGAATTGACTCTTTACAACATAAAGTCTTTTTCCTGATATGGAAATGACAAATTTCACTTGCCTTTGCATTACAGACATTTTTTCTATAGTGCAAATGCACCTGAAATTTGTCATTTTTGAACCTTTTGATTTTTAAACCAGATCAAATTTGTGCTCATCAAATTTTGCACATATGTGGAAAATAGCTTCATCTATGGGTTTGTGAAGTTTTTTTGAAAGAACTTCTGGATGGGTTTTGTGTCTTCCTGATCCTAATACTACCCTCCAGTCCCATCCATTCATTTGCTCTCCAGTATTGCTCCTGTTCCTAATCCTTAGTGCCTGTCATTGGTGCCTCCCTGCATTTGTCAATACCCCTGTGCCATGGTCTCTGCTGCCTCATCCAGTCATTGTTGAGCCTTATGTTGTAGCGTTCAGCAGTTCATCCTGCCGCATCCAGCCTCCCCCTTAACCTAGGCGGTGGAACAGTGTCAATTCATTTTCACTGTGTTAACATGAAAAGATATTGAATTGGTCTAAAAACTGGGAAAAGAAATCAATCACTTATTATTTGTTCCTGTTAGGACTTGTTTTTTATGTTGTGTTGCAAAGCTACTGATTCTTAGCAGTATGGACAGATGCCTGTATATATGATAAAGAGTTAAATGCACCAGCGGGCCTCAAACTTGTAAGGGTGTGTCACTTAGGTCCACGAACTTTGAAAATGCATTTCTGCATCCCTTAACTTGTTAAATGATGCACCGCAGTTCCATGCCAACCATGTAGGCGTTCCATGCTGATGTGGCATGCCAGCGTGGCATGCTTTTTATATTTAACCCCTCCTCTTCCTCTTCTTCCACGAATAGATCGTTGCTTCCCTCTTCTCTCACGCTGACCCTAGCGCGGTGGACACCGCGGCTCCCCTCGCCTTGCTGCTGCTCGTCTGCGTGTCGCTGTTCTGACCCACCAACAACCAGCACCTCAGTGCAATCGGATGATGAGGTGCTGACCGTTGGTGGGGTGGAAGTGTGGAACAGCGGCACACAAATGAGCAGCAGCCAGGTGAAGTGAGCCGAGGTGTCCATCGGGCTGGGGTTGCGTGAGAGAAGAGGGAAGCAAGGATCCGTTCGTGACAGAAGAGGAAAGGTGAGGGTTTAAATGTAAAAAAACATGTCACACTGGTATGCCACATCATCATGGAACACCTACATGGCTGGTATGGACCTTTCGATGCTCCATTTAACGAGTTTAGGGACCCAAAAATGTATTTTCAAAGTTCATTACCTAAGTGACACACCCTTACAAGTTTGAGGGCCGTTAGTGCATTTAACTCAATGATAAAAATGAACTTGTGCCATTTATCTTGTGATTAAATGCCAGCAAGAAAAACTTTTGTTGTCACACCTAAACTTCTACTGCATTCAACATTCATTTTAGAGGTAGGCCTCTACTTAACTCATATATTTAAATGTAATAGCTTTTATAATTTAATAACTGGCTAAGATCAATTCTACATTGAACATTCTTGTTGTTAATCTTTACTAAAAGCATTTTTTACTGGATCAAAATTTCACTGCTGTCAGTTCCTCAACTCTACCTAGCTTTTCTGCTTTTGTCATGATGTGAAGATATTGCTCATCCTGACTGAAGGTCAATAGCAATGAACTAGATATCCCCAATATAACCATAATCAGTATACCTTAGGCATGTAACTCTGTATTCATCTGATTCATCACATAAATTTTTGGTCTGGGTACTCCCTTAGTACACATGTTGACTTTGTTTGGCTGAGCTCTACGGGTGCTTTGGATAAGCTCTTTATGGATGATGATGTTCTTTTTTTTTATACGTTACGGTTAACATGACTTGTTATCTGACCCTTTTTTTTACAGCAGTTGTAGATACTACTTATATTTCTTTTTTCTGTGGTAGCGTACTGACAATTGATTGGTTGATGTACTATGGACATATATTTACACAGAGCTTGAGATGGACTCCCCCAAGATCTCCGAAAATGAAGATGTTGGGCATCTGATCACACCCCAGGAAGCCTGCAACCGCATAGCAGAGGTAGTCCAAGAGGCTGTGAGAAAGATGGAGCTCGTTGCTGAAGAGAAGATGCGACTTTACAAGAAGGCCCGTCTTGCCGTAGAGGCCTGTGACCGAGAGCTGGAGGAGAAGGTTAGGGAAGCCCAGGAGCTGAAGGCGGCGCGTCTGCGCAAGAAGCAGCAGGTGGAGGAGCTGGAGAGCATCGTGCGGCTGAAGCAGGCGGAAGCGGAGATGTTCCAGCTGAAGGCGAACGAGGCCCGGCAGGAGGCGGAGCGGCTGCAGAGCATCGCGCTCACCAAGTCCAAGACAGCCGACCAGGACTACGCCAGCATGTACCTGAAGTGGCGCCTGGAGGAGGCGGAGGCAGAGAAGCAGTCCCTTTTCGAGAAGATCAAGCTGCAGGACAACCAGAGGCCAGCCGTGGGTGTAGGCAGCAGCAGCGGTGCTGGAGGGGACTCTGCGCAGACGATGATGCTATCCAAGATTCAGGACCTGCTCAAGAATGTCCGCAGCATGCCAGCGAAGTCTGAGGGTCACTAATCGGAATAAGAGCTGCTGCTGAGATTTTCGGTAATTATGTGTGATCTACTGATTTGTTCAGAGTTGAGGTTTAAGGAATTGTGTGGTGCTGTGAGAAATTCGAATCCCTTTACGTTATTGTTGTTGATGCTGTTGATGTACTGTTGTAGGCTTATATACGTATTAACTCGGCTGTTGCAGGTGACCATAGTGTGCTTCAAACAATGTTAAAGTTACATCGTTAGACATGAATGAAACAACCTAAGCCAACAGTTGTGGCTCTGTGTCTCTCTATATATACACACATGCATGAGTTACGGAGCCCTTGACCAAACACATGTATGCTTGGTGAGTATGTATTGATCTTGTCTGATGCTTATATATCTTATGCTCTAATCTCTGTACCCGTGATAGGTTGTCATGTAACCACTCATGTTACACCTGAACAGGCCCGGATCGGTGTAGCGAGTTATGGTTACACCTGAATAGCCCCGGATCGGTGTAGCGAGTTATCGGGCTGCCACGATTGGGGTTGAGGGACATGCGTTGGGGAAGGAGTCTACCCGATGTAATTGCAACTTGCAGCGTGTCACTCCTGCAAGTGTGAAAATGTGAATGCCTTTTCTTATTCCACCTTCAAACCTGAAACGAAGGGTGATGACCCACATCGAATGGTCCATGAGGCCTGATTGTGAACTACCGCTCCAAATTATAGACCTGATTGTGAACTATCGCTCCAAATTATAGGCCTATAAAATGTTTTGGTATTTTAGATACATTATTTTCACTATACATCTAGACATAGTGTATTAGTGTACATCTAAATGCATTATAATTTAAAATGGAGGGAGTAGAGTCTGCTACAACGGATTGCCTTGCTTGTTGCAAGCCACTAAAGCAACTTTCGTCTACTATGACCTGGCGAAGCATACTGCATACAGAAGTCAGAAACACACGATCAATATAATACACGCCAACTTTTTTTTTTTAGCAAAATATATACACGACAGCTGTACGTACATTACAGAGGCACAAAGGTCAACTTTTACAGTACTTCACAGATAAGACTAACCCTACATACACATCCATATATAATAAAGTTGGGCCAGAGCAGGCTAAGCAAGCAGTAATAGTCCTCTAAGCATTGCTTCCCCAGAGTCTTCAGAAGATCAAGCGCTGTAGCCTTGGACCAATGGGCTCCATCTCGCCGAGCTGTAGCTGCCACAAGCACTGATGCTCGCTTGCTTCATCGAAGTGCCAGGCGTGCCACTGTTGCATATATTTGCGAACGCCCTCATATGCTTCATGCCGTACTGAGAGAGTGATCCGCAATGGGATTCGAAGATCCGTACCTGAAGAGGCTCACCAGGATGAGTCAATTCAACACAAACAATGGCAACCTAGCCAGCTCTCAAAGAAGTAAGAGGATGCATCGAGTGAGTCTCTAACTAACCATTTGCTTCAAGCAATCCCAATCATCAACGAGTGGCTGGCCAGAAGGTCTAACGGCTTGAAGTGTGGAAGGCCCATTCTCAATCCCGAAGAGAAGCTTTCCGATAAAATCGATGCTGCTGTCCAGATGCTTCCTATGCCTTACTGTTCCAGTGATCTCCCTCAGAACTTCCTGCTTCTCTTCAGACTTCTCATGTAAAAGCTCATACTGAAACCAAACAAAAAAAATTGTAAGCAGCCTCGAAGAAAGTGTATGTCTCTTTGAACGCAATGGCAGGATTTCAATCAAGGAGAAAGCAAATAGAGTTAATTATAGGAGTGTAAAGGGGTACATGACAGACTCCCCCAGCCTGCCAGAGCACAAGAGAGTGATAGAGAGCCCAAGAGCCAAAAGAAACAGAAAAGACACGGCCTTTACAAAGCACGAGCACATGCCAGTGCCCTCCTTCTCAATGCTATATCCTCCCGGATAACCTAAATAAGTGTACCAAACAAGCATTGACCTAAATAAAGTGTACCAAACAAGCATTCGCAGATTGCCCATAGATGACCTATATTTCAGTCCTGCTTAGCTGGATAACCTAAATAAGTGTACCAAACAAGCATTGACCTAAATAAAGTGTACCAAACAAGCATTCGCAGATATGACCTATATTTCAGTTCTGCTTAGCCACAGTAGCGAAAATTTGTGGAGCGGGGGGCAGACGCTTTGAGAGTGCAAGAACCGACACGTGACACACACTAGTTACCGCATGCAAGCTCCTGCAGAGCCTATTGTGGTGTTGGGGAGCTCATGACACAGGGCCAGACATGGCAGCGGCGGCAAGCTCAGAAGCTGGCTGATAGAAAAAGGTCATGAGTGCTCCATTAACTCTAAGAACACTAGCTAACAAAGCATTTGAAGTTAGCATACAAACTAAATTCTCGGCCAATTAATCCTATTAGCTGGCATTCACTACTTGCATGCGTCTCGATGAACGGATTATTAGCTCCAAGCTGCAGCCCTGTAGGAAGCCTCTCAGTTCTTTCAAGGCCTAGGCGACGGCTATCATCAAGATGGCACTTGTTGGCAAACAGCATAAAGTGTGAGCACTAGGATGCAACAAATAAGCTCTGTTATAAGGTTCAACGAAGTTGCGCCCTCCTGGTTTCTAGGTGGAGGATCAATGGGGTAGCTGGGAGATGAGATGGATATGCTTAGGCTTGCTGAGTTTGCTGAGATAAGTCTACTTAGGCCTTAAAAAATGTTTTGGAAGAGGGAGGCCAGCTTCGCCTCCAAGTGGACTCCATCCCTTTTTAGCAAGATACCAGCTGACAGGATGTTAATGAACCAAAATTCTGCTATCTATGACATACCGACAATAAATTTGGCCTACTTACAGTACAACCCTTACCATCATCTATTCCCAAACAGAGGGAATACTAAACATAGCATGTGCAGAAAGTAAATACTGAAGATAATTAGTAGTAGAAAGCAAGTGACATGTACAAAACCATGTCATCGTAGTCCAAATCTAACCAAATTATCCAATCAAAAAACAACTTCAGAGGGAAAACTGGCAGGTTGTAAATTAATTAAACAATTTAAAGGAGCAAACATAGTGGTTATCTGACAGTACATAATCAGTTTATTTTTGTATCCCAGAAAAGAGCAGACAAGCTAATCGAGTGGTGATGGTATAACACAAGGACTTACCCTCTTCCATAGGAAGAGAATATCCGCATCCCTTTGGTTGACCACAGCCTCTTGGCCTGACCAAAGTAGCTTATTTGTGACATTGGCATTTGCAGGATCAAAACCTTGATAAAGGTAAAGCTTCTCGCCCTTGAAGGTCTTGTCACCATACTCCATGACATGAGAGCCTGCACCATAGCTGTTCGAGTCTGAAGTACGCTTCTTCACCTGTGCACAATGCGTTGACTAAGTAGAAGTTTATAAAGCAATCAAATGAAATGCCTACAAGGCAATCCAGACTCACCACTTCATACTGTTCCTTTATTGTTTCCTCCTTCAGATTGTGAGTCTCACTGTCAAGTAGTAATATTATGGTTATTCATCACAGCACTAAGTGGTCACTTCCAAATTAACAAAAATATGAAGTAACTAAGTCAAGTGGATGCTTGGTAAAAGTCTTCATCTGCCCTGAATTAGTTCTATATTCACTAGAGAGAAGTTCACGGTTTTTGAAGTAGCTAAGTTAATGTACCTATCAGCCGTACTTTATTCAACTACTACTGTACCAGTTTCCTGTGTACAGCAGAACCGCAAAAGCACAACATGCCATGGTATTTCTACAGAGAAAATGCAACTAATTTTCAAGAAAGATCCCCCCACTAAACCACAAGGTACTCCCTCCGTTCCAAATCATAGGTCGTTTGGCTTTTCTATGTATCTAAATATAGCGTGTATCTAGGTATATCTAGGTAGGAGTACATAGCAAAAGGTATGTACCTAGAGAAGCCAAAAGGACCTATAATTTGGGATGGAGGGAGTAGTTGCTAACAAAATAAGCATCCAAAAATATGAACCCTACCTGTCTTCCATCCAAGAGACACTATAGAGATCACCTAGGCAGGTAATGTACTCAGCAGGAGGCGTTGGTTTCATTCCTGGACAGTATGTACCCCAGCTACTTTCTTCTGCATTGGATGCAGTCGTGACATAAATATTAAGGTCTTCTGGCATTAATCCCTCGAATATACTGCCACTTTCGCATGCTTCAATATATATAACCTATCCACATGCTTCCATTCAGATAGGACATGTTTCTTGACAACAAGTAAATGAGAACAACCTTACCATTTTGGCATAGCTGTTTGAAGCATGTTTTTCTCTTAACACCTTCATGAAGTCACCGGCATAAAGATACGGCAGATTGGGCATACCTGCAAATAGCAAACATCAATCCATATGACAACAAAATTCGATTTGAACCATAGAAGCATATGCAACTTCCACATACCAAGAACACCAGGGCCCCCGTGATCTGAGTAATAGATAAAAATATGGTCATCTGGTTTGCTATTGATGACCTTCCTGCTGCCTCCAGTGACTGCAGTTTTGTTGCCCAAGAGAACTGCATATAAGTTTTTAGCAGTGACTTGGTCCCCAGTGTAGTCCTGGAATTAGAAACTATGTTAACTAATAGACTTGCAGAACCAAGTGCAGCTAAAGAAGAATGTACCGATGGTGAATTCTTGAAGCAAGATACCTTAAAAAACACATGGTAAAAGGATAGATTCCCATGCCACGCTATCCTTCTAAAGAACTTGCTTATTAATTGAAAAGCTACTCATGAACAGGTACATAAAAAACCTAGAGCTTGGTTGGAGTCAAATGATGACTCAAGTACTTCACATTAGTGTGAAAACTCTGAAGTATGGACAATTAAATTATCCAGGAATCTGCCCTTGTTAAGGGTGAGCATCAACGTTGATTTTTTCCCTGTAAGAATATGCATGCTGCATCTGCATACGATTGCATTGGATTTGAATTACTTAACTTATGATGTGTTGTATTCAGGGCCTGTGCAACACAGTCATATAAGCAACTTGAGATGTAAAAGTCCTAAGGTGTTCTTGTTGTCCCCATCCAGCGGGCTATGTAGAATCCTAGTTAACGCCTCTACAGGTGGAAACTCGTTGAAAGGGGGGAAAGTTTGAGTGCATAATGATCCCAATGTTTCCTCTAAATGGGAGAAAAATGATAGAAGGACAATCCACAAAGAAGTACCTTCGGAACACCAGCATAAACATCTTCGCCCTCTGGGTGGTTGATGATAACCCCCCGCCTTGGGTTGAGTGCACTATTGGCAACGTCATCATACATAAATACCACAATGTTTTCCTCTTTTATCCCTCCTTTCCGCAGTATCTGGTACGCATGGCATATATCAGCCTGCAAAAAAACAAAGTCACATCAACCCGTAAGCAAAGGCACGATGGAAAATAATTGCTTGCTGATATGTGATGTCTGTTCCCTGCTAAAAAGGAGACAAAACAAGGCGAAAATAAACATGGAGATTTGCCAAATAAACATGATAAATTGATGATATTCGAACAACTTTTAGCTACTGGCACATAATTCCAGTTTACTGATTGAAAGTACAAGTACTCGCCATCAAATATTTTATCTGTTCTTTCTTTTATCGCGAACGCGCCTTAGCACGTCTTTCATTAAGAGGAGAAAAAGTTGTTTTACAGACGTTTTATCTGTTCTTTCAACTGTTGTCTAATGTTCTTGCCAACTTACGCAACTATTTAGACCGTGGCAAAATTTGGTACCAATCCATCCTCTGCATAGAAACTTAGAAGCAAAACATGCGAAATTCCAAATCCTACACGTTCCTGAATTATATTGTTGCTTAAACATTTTCCTTCCCTGAAAAGGACCACTTGAAAAAACTACAGCATCCTAAGAAGCCCCAGAACTTTATTTGTCACTACTAGCTGCACTCCCACTAGATCCTTAAACCCGTGGAAGCCCCTGGGCCGAGCAGTTCTTCCCTGAACTTTAGCTGCACCCACAACTAAATTAAGTCAAGATGTAGACAAGACTCGAAATGTTAAAATCCGAGCATCCTCTAGCTTAGGACCCCCAAAAACTTTAAACTTGATACCCAAAAGTGCAACTCCACGGTTCGACGATACTAATTTCTGAACCACGATAACGGATAACCTGACGAAGCAATATCGCAACAACAGTACAACACCACGCTACTCTCGCTTACAATCGAACTTCGGACGCATCCACGCATCCACGCATCCAAGTCGCTGCACTAAGGTATCGCGCTCACCTGGTGCCTGTAGTTGCCGTAGCCTGAGGACCCGGCAACGAGCACTGCCCACCTCGTCCCAACGGCGTCATCATCCTCCCCCTCAAATCCCTCGCCGCTGTGCGAGTGCGACCCTGCAGGCTCCTTCTCCCCAGGCATCCGAATCACCGGGTCCCACTCTCCCTTCTCCGCGCCGGCCGCGGCCGCGGCCAGCACCAACACGAGCAGCACGAACCACCACCGCGCAGCCATCGCCTCTCGCGTGTTGCGCTACTAGAGTCCAGCGGCGGGAGGGTAGGAATGTAGCGTGAGAGCGGCGCAGGGTCGGGGTGGAGAGAAGAAGTAGGCGCCGCGGCCGCGCGCATGCCGCCATGCATGGCACGGCGCCCTGGATCGCGGACGCGTGGGCGTGAGCTGGCGCGGCGGCTCCGTCGGCTTGTGCCCGTGTGCAGGTGCTGGAGCCGCTTCCATGCTTTGACGTCAGCGGGTAGCGGAGTGGTGTGGCCGGGTTGGGCTGGATTCTGGAGATTAAGTCTCGGCCGTAGCCCAACTTTGTCGGCCCATCAACTTGGCAGAGCCTGCGCAATGTAGTAAATGGCTAGATTAGCGGCCCAAACGTTTGTAAGAGTTGGAAACGGGCCCATTTATAGGCGTAAGAAGATGGAAATACACACAGTGGCAGGCCGTGATCCATCGGGTCGTCCCTTCCGTCGCCTTCCTGATCCTGATCGGCTACTCCGTGCCGTGGAGGAACCTTCGAGAACTCTTGAGAACTGGGATCCAACGCAGCTGGGCTCCTCTCCGTTTTATAAAAATCTCAACAGGTTATCGTCTTTTAATCCCTACAAACCCTAGACTTTTCTGCTCGCATCCTCGTCCGGCCCTCCCAGCCGCCAAGCCTTCTAGAACCTTCGAGAGCTCGATCCGATCGGAGCCCCCCGCCATGGCCGACGAGGCGAAGGCGAAGGGTAATGCGGCGTTCTCGGCCGGCCGCTTCGAGGAGGCGGCGCGGCACTTCACGGACGCCATCGCGCTCGCCCCGGGCAACCACGTCCTCTACTCCAACCGGTCGGCGGCGCTCGCCTCGCTCCACCGCTACTCCGACGCGCTCGCCGACGCGCAGAAGACCGTCGAGCTCAAGCCCGACTGGGCCAAGGGCTACTCCCGCCTCGGCGCGGCGCACCTCGGCCTCGGCGACGCCGCCAGCGCCGTCGCCGCCTACGAGAAGGGCCTCGTGCTCGAGCCCAGCAACGACGGCCTCAAGGCGGGGCTCGAGGACGCCAAGAAGGCCGCCGCCGCCCCGCCGCGCCGCGGGCCGTCCGGCCCCGACGGCATCGGCCAGATGTTCCAGGGCCCCGAGCTGTGGAGCAAGATCGCGTCCGACCCCACCACGCGCGCCTACCTCAGCGAGCCCGACTTTATGCAGATGCTGCGCGAAGTGCAGAGGAACCCCAGCAGCATCAGTATGTACCTCTCCGATCCCCGCATGATGCAGGTGCTCAGCCTCATGCTTAACGTCAAGATCCAGAGACCCGAGGCCTCCGAGTCGTCGCAGTCTACTCCACCGCCGCCGCAGCAGCAGCAACATCAGACGCCGCCTCCTGAGACGAAGGCTAGGGAGGTGGAGCCCGAGCCAGAGCCAGAGCCGATGGATTTGACTGATGAGAAGGAGCGCAAGGAGAGGAAGGCTGCTGCTCAGAAAGAGAAGGAGTTAGGTAACGCAGCTTACAAGAAGAAGGACTTCGAGACGGCAATCCAGCATTACACCAAAGCTTTGGAACTTGACGACGAGGATATTTCCTATCTGACTAACCGAGCAGCAGTCTACATTGAGATGGGAAAGGTGAGGCTATTCTATTTGTTCGCTGGTTTTATCCAGTGAGCTCTCACATTGTTTGATTGTTCATGTTCAATTTATTTGGTTTATGCAATGCGCAAATCAGGCTACTCTATTTCGCTGGTTTCATCCAGTGAGCTCTCACATTGTTTGATTGTTGATATCCATTTGATTTGGTTTATGCAATGCGCAAATCAGTAGTAGACTAAATTGAGATTTACAGGAGTTAGGTGCGTGACTTGATACTATTGAGTAGCCACTATGAGGATTTGTATTACTTGTTTGTCACGCACGTATGCTAGTAGTGAAAAGTGCTTAGTGGAGAAACAGTTGTATTCTTGCATAGTGCTTAGTCTAGGAGTAAGAGCACAATATATTACACGATTTAACTGTGACTTATGCCCGAAATATCACATATTCTTTTTTTGCTAGATAGTTTATAGCCTTCTTGTACTTTTGGTAGGCAAAATTGTTGCTGTAATGTATTAATATTACCTTGTACCTGTAGTACGATGAATGCATCAAGGACTGCGATAAGGCTGTGGAGAGGGGAAGAGAACTCCGTGCTGATTTCAAGATGATTTCAAGGGCACTAACAAGAAAAGGAACAGCTCTGGTCAAACTTGCTAAGACCTCTAAGGATTTTGATATTGCCATCGAGACCTTCCAGAAGGCTCTAACTGAGCATCGTAACCCAGACACTCTTAAAAAGTTAAATGAGGCTGAGAGAGCAAAGAAAGAGTTGGAGCAACAAGAGTACTATGATCCAAAATTAGCAGATCAGGAGAGAGAGAAAGGTATGTATAAGTTTTATAATGTCATCTCTAGGACATGTTGGTGACGGTTGTTCCTCTGCTATAGTTTTGTAATTTGTCTGATGATTTGTAGGTAACGAGTTCTTCAAGGAGCAAAAATACCCAGAGGCAATAAAACACTACACGGAGGCTCTCAGGAGAAACCCGAAGGATCCTAGGGTAATTCTTCTACCTCTGTTTCACACAATCTGCCTTTGTTATTAGAGTATATAACATATGAAATATTTGGGAAACTTGGTCATTGATATTCAGTTATATTCTGTTTTTCCACATCCTTATATGGCTTGTCATGGCTGTGTTTTCCTGGAGTGGTGGGTCGCTAAAGGGCGGGATTTGTGCTTATGCTGAGTGGTTCGCCCTAGTGCCTTGGTTTGCATAGTAGAGAACGTGGTAGGGTAGAAGGGAGAACGCAGATTGAGATAAGAATGGTCACTAGAAGATAAGAGATGCATTTCTTGGTTGACTTGAAAAGGATTCTTGCTCTTATATGAAGCTACTTAACTCAGCATTCGGTCTTCAACTTGGAAAATGCAATTGATTTCTGTTGTCTCTCTTCTAAATTGTAACTTTCCACTTTTTCTTGTTTGTTGGACATTCGCTTTCCTGATAAACTATGGTTTGACTCCTTGATTCAACATTTCAACTTGAACCATCCACTGTTGGTTCCTGGTCAGACACAAATGGTGTTTGCTGCAATAACTAGATGGTATTGCACCTAATTTGAACATTAGGTAGTGTTTTGCACCTAATTTGTGAGGGGTGGGAAAGGGAAATGATGGATAGGTTAGATTTATTCCAGTGTTTGGATTATGGTTATGGGAAAAGATATTGGTTTGGGATAGGGATATGTGCTCCTCATATCTCATTGTTTCCACCATGAGGGCTGGGTTGTGAGGGTGGAATTGGGTTATTATTTGTAAATCTCCAAAAGAAAAGGATATGATGCTTTTGTCATTTCCCCTCTGTTTCCCCAATCCATACCCATAGGTAGGTGCCAAAAAAGGAATGGGAAATGATGTTGATTTCACAAACCAAAACCCACACTTCATAAGCCACACTCATATCCCTTTCCCATTCCAACTTAATATCCAAAAACACTGGTCGCATCACATGAACTCTATAAATTGAGGTACTTCCCTTTCTTTTTATTCTAGGTTACTTTGAATTACTTGGTTGTTGTAACAATGATGGGTGTGCATACCCCCAACAATGCCAATTGCCAACTCAGCTCAGCTAGCTCATAGAATTCATATCGTCATTTTTCCGTATGTGGAGGAGAGAGAAGGGCTAACTCTTCGTGATGAGCTAGCCTCTTTTGAACGCCTCTGGATGTTTAATTGGTCATCAATTATGGGCCTGCTTGGATGCCTCGCCCGCTAGCCTTGCTGGGCAAGGCAATCTTGCCAGAGGAGGCGAGCCGAATCAGCTCACCCACTGGAGCAAGGAAAAGCTGGAAATCCTGGGTAACGAGGCAAGCTAGTGCATAAACCAAACGTGTCTTCCCCTTAGCTTCCTTGCTGGTTGAGGCTAGGCTAGTGTGCTTGCCGGGAACCAAGAACCAAGCATGCCGTACATCTCATCCAATCATCTTTCTGGCTTTGAGAACCACATTAGCTTTGAGCTCTGTGTAAAAGCTAGATCATTTGGATTGATCTTTTAAGCTAGCCCTTATTGAGGTGGATGTGACTAGGCCTTAGAGCTAAGCATGTAGCTCTGACTTGTTGGAGCTTGTTGTTGATGTCTTGTGTGCTTGTGCTTTTTTGCTATTTATTAATTGATTCCGACTTAACCAAATATTACCTGATCTTGTAATAATTTAATCCGTAATATGTTTCTTAATTGATATCCTGCTTTCTTTCTGCTGTTATATATTGAGCTGCTTAATGTTGTTGCACTTTCTAGCTGTCTCTGTGTGTAAGCTTATATGTTTTACTTGCAGACTGTAATTGACCTTCAAATGTTATTTATCTACAGGTTTACAGCAATAGGGCTGCCTGCTACACCAAATTAGGAGCCATGCCTGAAGGTCTTAAAGACGCAGAGAAGTGTCTTGAACTAGACCCCACCTTCACCAAAGGGTATACAAGGAAAGGTGCAATTCAATTCTTCATGAAAGAATATGACAAGGCCATGGAAACCTACCAGGCTGGCTTGAAGCATGACCCGAACAACCAGGAACTGCTTGATGGTGTTAGGAGGTATTAAAAGCTTATGCAATACCAGTAATCTGATTGTTCAGTGTATATTGCATTGCATAAACAGCATGTTAACCTTTTTTTTTGTAACATTTGCAGGTGTGTTGAACAGATCAACAAGGCCAACAGAGGTGAAATAAGTCAGGACGAATTGCAAGAAAGACAGGTAACCATATATTGGGATATGCTTCTGTGTTCTTTGGTTTGCAGCTTCAAAAGTTCAGATTCAGTTAAACTGTTCATGCTGTTTGTGCAGAACAAAGCTATGCAAGACCCAGAGATCCAGAACATTCTTACCGACCCTATCATGCGACAGGTACCATTGAGTCCCTGAACTCAACCGGTATCTTTGTGTCAAAACTTACTATACCGGCCTGCTGATGATGTCATGTTCTGCAGGTGCTA